GAGCTGTTGCATTGTGGTAAACTGTGGTCAATGACATGAGACAAAGTATATGTGAACTGCTGTATGGAAAGTGAATTTTCTCTGTAAATCTTCACCCAAATCACAATTTTAAAAAAAGGGTTAATCCTGAAACTGTTTCAACTTGAACATAACAACAAATCAAAGTCTGGTCCACCTCAAATAAAGTATATAATCCTGGTTCCTCTGAAAGTAAAGCACGCCAAGGGGCTAATTAAACAGTCAGAACCAAAACCCTTCTTAGTGGAACCAGATTTCATGAAGAAACTCCAACTACAGATTCCTCAGTAAAAAGAATGTGAGAAGGTGAAGTATGAAGCATGGCACCTCCACCCCAAGTTATGTGAAAAGCTAAGAGAAGATGAACCTTTGCTTGACCCTATGGCCCTATATGAAAGTGAAGATGGTTATTTTAGAGGGCCTGATAAGGGATATGACATTCTTGAAGACCTTTATAGAACAACTGCCTTTAAGGATTTCATTTTAAACAAGGGCTAAAGCATGCTGGATTTAATTGAAAGCTTATTTAAAAGGAAGGGAGGGAGATAGGATACAACTAAGACTCCTACAATGTTATGAACAAGAAATAGCTCAAGAGAGGATTCTTCATAAAAGGATTAGATAGTTTTTCCTTTCCTACATACTTGGTTATTTCTCTCTCATTTTAAATGTCAAACATAATTTATGATGTGTGCTCCACCATGGATGACAACCTCTGTATAAAAGTTAACATTCAATGTTTATAAACATTTCTTGATGACCATCTGCTTCAGGTTCATCAATGTGTTACCAACTATGAAATCAATATTCACATATATTCTTATCACATTTTTATAGCATTGTGACTACAGAGTTATGCCAATTATTTGTTAAAAAAAAAATAACTAAATGCAGAATCACTCTTAAAAACAGAATGAGCTCCTGATGTCAGCTACAACATGAGATGTATCTTTAAAAATAATTGTGCAAACTGAAATAAGAATTGTATAGTTCCAACTTACATTAACATTTTAATGAAGTAATTATGAAAATTCATTGTAAACCAAATGCTGACATATATAGCCAAAATAATTTTAGCCACATTTAATAATGAAATCAGTTTCTTCCCTTTTAGAATTCCATCAAGCCCCCAAAACTGGATGGAAAACTACTTATTAAAATAATAGAAACTTGAGTTAAGCTTTTTTATCTTACTTCCCAAATGAATATATTTTTAAATGTTCACCATATTCATAAAAGTTCATCAGGAAGGAGTGTTTCCATATTATGTTACAGAGGTTCAGAACAGCAGGGAGCTTGAAGTCCCTGGCAAATCTAGTGTACAAAATATATCTTTGTGAGCAAAGCTACACATAGGAATTTCAAATATCCTCACATAGCTATGCAAATACAATTAATCTTTGCAGTCCATGAATACCATAAAACAAACCAAACTCACTGCTGTCAAGTCAGTCCCAACTCATAGTGATCCCTCCTTGGATTTCTGAGGCGGTATCTCTACAGAAGTAGATTGCCCAGTCTTCTTCTGAGGAGTGTCTGCTGCGTTTAAATCGCCAGCCTTCTGATTAGCCGTCAAATGCCTTAGGTACTATGCCACCAGTGCAGGAATAGCAGTTTTAAATTCACTCATACATTTAAAATAAGAAATCAAGCAACTTTTTTATATTTCCAAAATAACAAATTTATCTGGGACTGATACATTTATATGTAGAAAGATTAGCAGTGCCAATCTGAGGTGCACTTCTAATTCTAGTAACAAAGGAACCCATCTGTAAGTAGAAGTATATTTCATCCCAGTAAGAATGTACAGATATGTGTTTATGTCAAATGATCTATTTTCAGTGAAGTATGTTTGTGAGTATCACGTACTTGAAGAAATAGGAATATTCTATATATGTTTGTAAGTCAAGGTTTAGATTTTCTCTCCAAATCCATCACCTTAAACCTACACTTATGTCACCATTGTATCCCATTGTATTTCTGCAATAGCTTCTAAACTAATCTCTCTTCTCCTTGACTATATTTTTCTAAAGTGAAAAAATAGTCAAAATTCTCCAGGCTCATTAAACTTACTCCCCCCAAAACATAAACACACACACACACACA